CAGACTACCAAGTTCTGGTTCAGCCCATTCATGTCGTCCCGTGTGTTTGATTTAACACTGCAGATATCTCTGTACCGCTGAATTCACGAATCTCCAGAATTGATCATCTCCTTTGTTGCATCACTTTCGAAATTTTGGGTGCCAGTAGTGTGGGAGTCGCTCGCCCTATTGAAAATTGTAGAAGGCACAAGCGGGAGAAGTGTTATGATGTGAAAGCCAACGTTGAATAAATTGATAAAGTCAAACCCGCGTCAAATGCACGTCCACTTTGCACTATCTTCTCTCCGCAAACTCGCATGTCGTAGCTTTCCGCCCATCATTTCCGCCCATCATTTCTGTCTATCGCAGAACATCTGGCATTATCATTATCGCTGAATAGCAATTCACGCTTCACAAACAGCCCCTATACAAAGTCTTCAACAAAAGCAGCGTACAGGAAGACTCTCCTCGAATTGAAGACGGATAACACAATACGACTACTTGACCGACAACGTAGGTCGCATCAGATGACAGCGACACCACCAATACCCTCCGTGAGTTTCGCCCTTTCTTTGACATTGTGGTTCCGAATTGCCCTAACGAATTGCCCCATAAGATTTATTGGCCGTAGAAACAAAATATAAAGACCTACAGTGCGCATACGGCGCCCAGTGCCGAACAGATAAGCGGAATAAGAAAGATTGCTGTGAGAGCTTTGATTGACGCCTCACGAACTTGTTCGCGAAGACCGTCAGGAAGCGTCGCGATGATAGTGATGCTTTGCTTGAGAGCATCGACAAGCTCAGGCGTCAAGCCCTGGACGTGTGAGAGTTCACTGCCGAGGCGGTTGTCGTAGATGGAGCCAGCAATACTGAGGAATTATATCAGCGGTTGTGCATGTGTGTAGTCAAATTTGGGGGCATACCTCAAGCCGACAATTCCTCCGAAGTACGAGATGAACGTCTGTAAGATGAAGTTCATGCCAGTTCCTTGGGGGTTCACAGACGCTTACCAGGATAGCTGACGCCCGAGTGGTCTCCTCGACCTCATCTGCCCATTCGGTCTGCACGGCAACAAAAGAGGACTGATACGAACCGCCTACTGCTGCATCGGCATTCAAAAATAGTGCTTATAACGGTGAGACATACCAAGACCAGCCTGCAAGTACATAATTAGTCTATCCATTACAGTTCATAGTAGAGAGGAGCCTGGCGCACCCCCATAAGGATCTGATAACCAACGAGCTTTGCATTGGAAGTCGAAGCGTTGGACGTGAATACCAAAGCTGAGCCAGCAACGGTTAGTAACGGCGTGATGAGCATAATGTGCCAGTATCGGCCCGTAGTCTGGCAATGAAGGCAATCAGTTAAATGCGCGATCACGTGACCGGTGAATATATACCGTGGTAATGTACGATGCCACACCAGAGGCTATACAGCACATTAGAATGGCACGGCGCGAGGGTTGAAGGTACACTTACAGACAACGAACGAAAGCATTAGTGGAAGCAGGTTGATTCCTGATTGTACGCTGCTTCCGCCGTTGACTTGGTACCACAGAGGGAGATAATACTGTCAAACGATGGGAATGAGCACAATTGTCTTCATACTTCAGAGTCGACATACCACCGAGACGATAAGAGACGTCAGCAGCCAAAACTAAAACACACGGTCGGCTTGGGCTCCAGGTGAGGTTTGGAGTAGCCACGCACCGCTTCCAATGAGGCACCGCACTGCGTCCGCCTGTGAAAAATAGAGTACGGTACTAATGCCTGCGAACCGCGGAACCCTTCCCAAACGATAAAGACAACAAGAACTACGCCAAATACGCACAGCGGCACGATAACAGATGGGCTTTTCCAGGGCTTGACGGATCCACCCCACTCGAGGCCGAGCAAGAGACACGTAGAGAAACCAAGACAGAGGAAAGTACCAACCCAATCGAGTGCACTGTGTATACATGAATCGGCGAACACGCGCGAGATGACAAGGGCGTACTAGTTGAGGCGCGAGAAAAGGCCGCGCCCGACCAGCATCGAGGTGTCTGGCTTGCGGTATGGGAGCCAAAGGAGCATGATGACCACGCTCAGGCCGCCGATCTGTGCAGTGGTGAGTACCATTTGAGAACATTACGCGGTGTGACGTACCGGGAGGTTGATGTAGAAGCACCACCTCCAAGATACATGGTCTGCTCGGATTAGCAAATGCACGTCCCTCGCTGAGCATTTCTACCCACCGGTAAATGCTCCGCCTGAGAGTGCAGAAGTCAGCATGCACCTCACTCAACGGTGAGATGCGGCCTCTTACCTAGCAGGGGGCCAACGATACTCGCTATGGCAAGCAATGCGCCAAACGCACCAAACAACGCTGGACGGTCCTCAAGCCGCGTGAACTAATCAAGCCGTGCGTGAGAACCGCCAAGAAAATGGTTGATAAGATTACGCACTGATGCAATGGTCGCAATGGAGCAGATGGTGATACTGTAGCAGCCTAGTCAGCCGTTCCGAAGTCTGAGCTTGAGTGTCAGGTACTGACCCAGCAGCCCCACACCCAGCTACTGCCCGGCCAAAGATCAATACCCGCATGGAAGGAGCCTGGGTACAGTTCGATACAGCGCACCAATGAAGCGAGTGACCTGGCTCACCGCCCCACATAACACAGACCCAGTCTCGAAGACCACGATGGAAGTGATGTAGACGGTCTTGATGGGTATCGTGTTGATCAGTTGTCCGACGCAGAGCATGAGCCCCGCTTCAGTCAAAAAATCTATAGCGTTTCATTAGGACAGAGACCGAAGGGTGAAGTGGCGGGCTTTACAAGCTGCGGCGACCCACGTGGCAAGGTCAAGTGCGTTGAAGACGGAGACGATGCGCGGCAGCGCAGTGGCTACCTGAAGGCCGTCAGTCTAATGTTCGCGGCGGCTGACGTTATAAATGAGGGCTCCTACGATGGTCTGATCGAGGTTCACAAGCAGAACTGACAGCAATAAAGAGCTTATAGAGATGTTATCAGTGGTCGCCCGAATGGTATCGTAGACGAGATACATACCT